CATGGCTGGTACTTTGCCTTTACCTCATGGAAACTACGTGTGTTTCGGAACATACATGCAGCACACAGGGGAAGCAGGAAGCAGAAGAGCTGGAATGGGTGTCCCCTCTGCCCCTGCCGCTGGGCAATGGCAGCAGCAGAGATGACTCTGCCTTGTGCCTGCGCTGCCGGGGTGTGGGGGGGTAGAGGGCAGGTTTGCTGTGCTCTCCAGGTTGTGGGTTTCACACCGCTCCCTCCCGTGGGGCAGTGCTGGGGGTTGAGGTGATGCCACCCCGGGGAGCAGGCTCTGCACTGTGACCTTGCCAAGCGATGCTTGTGCCTTGGTGTGTCACATCGAGGGACCTGCAGCCCGGTGAGGCCTGACGGGCTCATGGGGATCTCACTGTCCCATCCTGCTCCTGCCACCTTGTTCTCCAAGCCTCTGGTTCCCCTTCTGCTGATGGGCAGTGGCATTCAGAGGGTGATTTGCTGGGAGTCCCTCTGAGAGGGTGCAGGCTGTTTCTGTGCCCTGGGGTGGGGGCTCTGTGCTCTCCTGCAGCAGCCCCAGCTCCCTCCCAGCCACACGGGCAGGCAGTGCCAGCTCCTGCCCTTGCCGTGACCTTGCCCAAGGTCAGCAGCGCTCGGTGTGCCGCAGGGACAAGCGTGCCTAGCGTCCAGCACGTGGGTGACCGTGTTCCCCTGCCCCCCCAGGGCACAGTCAATATGGGAGAGACCATATTATTATCAGGTTATTGGCATGCAGTGGTGGAGGGAGAGCATGTGGAGGTCAGGGTGACCTTGCCTGGCTTTTTGGGGGAAGGGCTGCACAAAGGGGCTCTGTGGAGCTGAGAGGCATCCCCATACACGGCATCCATGTCCTCCAGCCCAGCATTGCTGGGAGAGAGCAGCAATGCCTGGTGCAGCATCAGTCCTTCACCCTGGGAGCCCTGCCAGCATCCCTGTGAAAGCTGCTGGCAATTTATGTGGAGCTGATGTAGGCTTGCATGAAAATGAAGCGTGCTGGAAATCTGCAATCCGAAGGCAGCTGCCTCTAGTGTGTGGACGGACAGGCAGGATGCAGGAATCTTCCAGGGCATCGCAGGGAGGCTGTGGAAGCCCACACCTCCAGGGCAGCTATGGGGTACACGGCTCTGTGCGTGTCCTGTGGACTCAGGGCTGGGTGTGGAGAGCAAATGGTGCTGGAGAGAGGAATGAGGATGCACCTTTTGATGCTGTTGCCCTCTGCACCGAGTACCATCGGGATGAGATGGCTGGACCAGGGAAAATGCAGCATGTGCCACAGCAGGGAGAGCTGCCCCCTCCCTCGTTTGCACCCTGTGGCCCCAGTCCCATACTCACCCTGCAGCCCTCACCTCTGCCGTTGAGTTTCTCCCTGAGGAAAAATGAGTGTTGTCCTTTCAGCCTCCCAGGATTTTGGAAGAGGGCAGCCAGGAGCTGAGGGCTGGGAGATGTGGTTCCTAGGGCAGTGGGCTGGCCAAGACTCACGGGAGAGCTCTGCTGCTGGAAGAGATTAAATTTCAGATGGAGCCAGAAAGAGATAAACAGAAGAGATCAGCTGGTCGGTGCCAGCCTGGTGGAGTCCAGCTTTGCTCTGTGGGGCTCTGTAGTTCCTGCCTGGGGCCGGCAGACTGGGGCAAGCACACTGTGACTGGGACAGTGATCCTTTCCTGGGGCAACTGGGTTCTCTCTGCCCACCTATTGTGGCCATGGTCCTGCTGCAAGCTACCCTGAGCACAGCTGATGTGTGCAAGAGGCTGACCCAGAGCCACTCGCTCAACGTTTTCTGCCTGGTACCTCCCTGCTAGGGCTGCATGCTGCCTCTCTCAGGCTTTCCATCTCGGTGGAGCTCAGGGACTGGTCTCACAACCTACAGCCATACCTGGTGCTTGACACACTCCTCTTCAGGGTCCTACCCCACTGCAGTGAAGCAGGTTCTTGAGGTCCACCAGGTGTTGTATGTGCAAGTAATGCTCTCCTTTACTGGTTTTGGGTGAAGTGAGCTGCCTTGCCTCTTTGGTACCCGATGCAGAGATCAAAGCAGCTGTCTTCCCTTGCATCCCTGCTTGGCCCTGCACTCTCCACTCCATCTGGTGCTCACCCATAGAAATGCCTCCCACCCTTTGATCAGCGGTGCTCCCGTGGCCTTTTGTTTTTCAAAGCATCGATGGCTCTGACTTCTTGTACCTGCTTCTGACATCCCTGAGACTGGCTGTGGTTCTCCAGTATTCCTACTCTTGTTTGCTGGTCCTTTCTCTATGCGTCATAAAATAACATTGCTATGAAGGACAATGGTTCAAAATACTGCCAGTGCTTTCCTCTGACTGACCCCATGGAGCTGCTCTGAGCAGAGCTCTTCTGAGCTCTGGTCCTTATCATCTGGGGAGTTAGGAGTTTGTGGAGTGATTTGTGTTGGTCTTTTTCTGTTAACATGGCTACAGCAAATAACTGAGAAGACTATGCGGAAGGGAAAGGGGGAGAGGAACCAGCTCAGTTCGTGCTTGAGGTGAAACTGGCTGCCAGGCTTTTGGTATAGGGGTAAATCCTGTGCCCACCTGTCTTGTGTGGTATTAACTGATACAGATCATCTGCCAACATATGTTTATAAATCTGATTATAGAAAAAAGGGTTGGGAGGGGCCCCATGAGATCCCTGGTGCATCATCTCTGTACAGGTGAGCAGGCTGAGAAGAAAAGCAGAGAAATAAAAGCAGTAACTGATCATTTGGTTCCTGAGCAACTCTTATCTGATTGTGAACCGAGCCAACAGCAGTGGTGCCGTGTGGGACAGGAAGGAGATCTCTGGATTTAGAAAGGTCAAGAAACATCCCCGTGCTTGAGTCTTCCTCTCTTGCTCCCCCAGTTCCTGTGTCTCATGTATCTGGCTGCAGCTCGCTCTTCCCTCCAACCTCCTGCATCCTTGGGAGCAAATCCAGCTAAGCTTTTATCAACTTGGGGGAGCTTCACCCTACAGAGGTGAGGAGAGTCTGGAGCCACCCACCGGCTCCCTGCACTGAGACTTTTGCCAAGTCCTGCTGGCACCAGGCACCCATGTGCTGAGAATTTGGGAAGCCCTCTGGCTGCTGCTGACCCCAGCATGGGCTTTGAACGCAACTCCTCCAGCAGGATCAGGGCCTCCAGGGAACCAGGGGAAGGACCTTGTCTAATCAGGAAAGCTGGGATGGGGAAAGCCAAGGGATCAGTGACCCTGACCTCTGCCTGAGAACAGAAACCCATTTTTCTTCCCCTTTTCCTTCCGTTCATGTCATTATTCTCCCTTTGTGGTGAGGCAGCAGTTTGAGAAGTCGTTTTTCTTCCTTTCTCCATCTGTGTCGGGAAGTCA